CGGGAGCCCGAGCATCCCAGCGGGAACACCGGCCTCCTCCGACATTCCCGATGCTCTCTCTCGCCGGCTGGGCCGGCTGCTGAAATCCTCTCCCGGCACTGCGATGTCACACTGGGAGCCTCTCACTGGGCAGCGGCTGGGAATGCCCTGAGCTCCCTGCTGACTGAGGCTGAAGCATCAGCGGATGCTCCGAGGGGCGGCAATGCTCTCCCCCGCGGATCCCTGGGATAGGGGGATCCCCTCCCACCACCTCCTCTCAACTCCTTTTTCTCCTTTTCTTTCTGTTTTAGGTGGCACCTGCACCTGCGGGGACAACTGCAAATGCAAAAACTGCAAATGCACATCATGCAAAAAAGGTAAGAGGGATGTCTGAGCCCCCAGGGGGGCAAAAACACTCAGGGGGTGTTTCATATACATCCCAAGTACAGTGAGAATCCCACCCCCTTGCCAGGCAACACAAGCCACCCAATATCACCTAAACCCTCACTGGCACCTCAGGCTCAGCACAAGGGGATGCCTGGGAAGGAAACTGGCACTGGGATTTCTCTCTGGGTGCTTCTGATGCTGTCACCCCCAGCAGAGGCATGTGCAGGAGGATTTGCAAAGAGAGGGACTCAGGGGACCCCTGTGAGCCCTTTGGGGTTCCTCACCCTTCTGCTGCCTCTCCAGTGCTGGCCCTGGCTGCACAAACACCCTGGGAGATGCTGCCAGGGATGGAGATGCTGCTGTAAGGGAAGGACGTGGATACATGGGATGTCTCCAAGCCAGCAGGACCCTCCAAACCCCACCCTGAGAGCCCCCAGGAAAATATGTCCCTAACACATTTTTCTCTCTTCCCCAGGCTGCTGCTCCTGCTGCCCAGCGGGATGTGCCAAGTGTGCACAGGGCTGTGTCTGCAAGGGACCCCCCTCTGCCAAGTGCAGCTGCTGCAAATAGGGGACCCTGGCTGCACATCTGGGGGAGATGCACATCTGGGGGGATAAAGAAGAATAACCTTATTGTGTATGTTGGTTGTCTTTTTTTATATGTGTGTTCAGATTTCTTTAGTGTTTGTCACCTAAATAAAGTGATATGTATATAAAGGTCCATGAGGAGCTTGGCACTTGTGTTGGATGGGGTGGTTTCCCAGGGGAGCGGGAGGGCAGCGTCTGTGGGCGGTCATGGCAAAGAGCCTGCGTCTTATTTTCTCTCCTTTCTTCCAGTCTTGGCTCTGCTCTCCCTGCCAGCAGTTCTGACTCTTGTTTTAACACTTGTCCTACACAAGGGATTTTTTTCCCCCCCCGCCCTGTTGTTACCCAAGGCAAATCCCATGCTCTCTCCTCCACCAGAGATCCTCGGGGCTAATGAGCAGCTCATTATTACAAGCTTTCACTTTAATAACCACCTCAGCCCGGCCCATTTCCAGGGGGAACATTTCCACAGCAGGTGGGGCGCCAGGGAAACAGGTTTAGTTTTCCTCCTGGCAGTTTAGTTGAACTGGCTGGAAGAACCACACTGCTTCTTCCCCCACCACCTCTGTCAGCCTGGCTGGGTGCTCCTGGCGAGCATCAGGTGACCTGGTTCCCCACCACGGGGTGCAGTGCCCACAGTGGGGTGTGATGCCCACGATGGGGTGCACTGCCTGCAGTAGGGTGCAGTGCCCCCCATGGGAGGTGATGCCCACACCAGGGGGTGATGGCCACTATGGTCTGCAATGCCCACACTGGGATGCAACGTCCATGATGGGATGTAATGCCTGTGAGGGGCTGCAATGCCCTTGCCAGGGTACAAAGCCCACAATAGGATGTGATTCCTGCAACGGGAGGTGATGCCCATGCCAGTGTGGGATGCCTGCCCTGCCCAAGCACAGCCATCCTCCTGCCTGAGCTCTGCACCTCAGGAGCCAAGTGCCACTGTGCTGCCTCCCAGGACACACGAGGGGTACTGCCTGTCCCTGCACTCCCCAAACACAGCCTTTCATGGCTTCCTTTCAGCTGCAAAACTTTCCTGACCTATCCAGTCACCACTGCCAGGCCTCAGCCAGGCTTTTGGTACAGCCAACAGCACAGAACCCCTGCCCACTGGCTGCTCACAGTGCCAACCCCGAGGGGATACCCCTTTGCTCCAGGAGGGCTCCTCCCCCAGGGTGTCCCCTGAGATGTCACCATCACCCCACACCTCTGAGGGGTGTGAGCCCACCCCTGTGCCAGCTGAATGTAGGGCAGGGCAGGGCATCATGCTAAACTTCATTCTGCAAAGAGCTGGGTTATCTTTATTCCTTCTAACCCAGAGAGACTTAAGTGCCAACCACGCAAAAACATCATTGGGGAGCCCACAATGGGGTGAAGGAGAGGTTGCTAATGGGATTTATCGCCCAGTGTGGTTTGGCCAGCGGGGCTCACAGCGTCGGTCCAGCTCTGCTGGTCCCTGTGGGTTTGCACTGGTCCTGCCCCGTGGCTCTGCACTGTGCCCATCCCTGTGCCCCACGGCAGTGTAATGGGAAGCAGCTGTCAGATACTGTCCTTCTTGCAGGGGAAGTGAGGGGCAGACAGGGGTTCCAGCAGCCCAGCTCTGAGTCCTGAGACCTGTGCTGGGCAGCTGCAGCTCCACTGCTCACTTTATGGCTGCTGTAAAATCAGAGTTGGACCTGGCACTCCTCTTACATGGGAACAGCCTTGGGTTTAACTACTCCCTGCTCTGGGAAACTGGAATACTATCAGTAACACAGGAGACCCTCCTCGAGCTCTCCTCTCCCCACTGCTGTCCAGCACGTGCCCTGCATCCCGGCATTTCAGCAAGCCCATGGCTCGGGGAATGCACACTCATCCCCTGTCCTGCTTGCAGGGTGACCTCATTATTCAGTGGAAATGCCCCGATTGGGAAACCAGGCATTTTCCAGGCTCTTTTCCCATCCTAGCTTTGCACACAGTTCTGTGGGGATGCTGTGCTGCCCCTTCCTGCTCGCAGTGACGTGGACCTGGGATGATGTGAGCCTGGGACAACGTGTCCTGGGATTCAGCACAGCTCGTCATTGTGTGAGATGCAGAATTTCTACAAATCTGGGAATTCCCCTGCTTTCCCTGCAGCTTTGCCCCTGCACACTCATGCCCCATTTTTGGTATGGTCCCGTGCAGGGGTGCACAATCTCATTTTGGGTGGCCAGGGGCTCTCATTTCCTCAGTCCTGGGTGCAGCAGAACCCACCCCTCTGGAGGGAGGGCTGGGGGAAGGGAGGCAGCCCCGTGCTGGGGGTGTCCGGGAGGGAAGCGATTTCGCAACCCATGTTTATGTGCAGTAAGACCACACGTGCTCGGTGATTCCAGCTCTCCTCCTTCCCGCTCAGCCGGGGGTGTGTGCAATGCCTGGTGTGTGCAATGCCTGCTGGCTTCGCCTCACTGCTGGCTGTGCACACTGCCAGGAAAAAACAACTCCGTGCTTCTGCAAACAAGCACGAGCCGTTCCCTGGCACAGCCTCCCAGGGCCACCGACCCTCTCCTGGTCGCAGGGCCCACCAGGGCAGGCTCCACGGGGGCAGAGCCCTCCTGCAGCGCTGGCTCCAAGCCCAGCTTTGTCACACGTGTGACACCGCCACGAGCAGCGGGTGCAGGCACAGGGACGGCCTGGCCCTGGCCCAGACACTGTTTCTGTGCTGGATGTTGAACTGGCCACGGGCACGTGCAGGGTGGTGGAAGCCAGTTGGCACATAAACACCATGACAAACACCTGTGGAAAACCCACAGGGATGGGAAACTGTGATTCCCAGCAGCCCTTGGCCAGCAATGCCATGTTCCCACACTGCATCCCCATGCTCACCCAAGCATGAAGCTGTGTCAGGGGAGGTTTAGGCTGGGTACTAGGAAAAGGTTCTTCACCCAGAAGTCAGGCAGGTACTGGAACAGGCTCCCCAGGGAAGTGGTCACAGCATCTGCCAGGAACTTCAGGAAGTGTTTGGACAACACGCTCAGGCACATGATGTGATTCTTGGTGTTGTCCTGTGCAGGGCCAGGAGTTGGACTCGATGATCCTTGTGGGTCTCTTCCGACTCAGGACATTCTATGATTCACCCCTCCTGGGAGGCCATTCGAGCACTCCAGCCCTGTGGAGCTACCCAGGGCCATCCTGCTGTCCAGAGGGACAGAGACAGTCAGTCCCATCCCCAGGGACAGCCCCATACACCCCATGGCCACCCTGGCAATGGCACCGCCAACACCCCAGCGCTGGGCACACGGGGGGCAGTGTCGCGGGGCTGTCCCGAATGTGCAGGACCCGGTGGCAGAGCCACACTAGTGCTGTCACCCCCACACCGCGCACACTCCTTCCTCTCGCTCCCTCGGGATGCGGCACCCTGCCTGGGAGGGGGGATGCGGGCGGGACCCTCCGGCTTCCCCGCGGCGGGCTGGGAGCGGGGGGGGCTGGCACGTCCGTGACCCGGGTGAGCACGGCACGGCCCGGGGGTGAGCACGACACGGTAGAGCACG